CTCCCTAGTGGCACGCCGGCTCCTGCCATGCATGCTACATGCAAAGACGATTGGGCAAGTCGGTTGCTGATATGGGATTCATAATCTGTATCTGGCATGCATAATGAGTAGTGAATTCAACAAACAAAGTAATTTTAAAAAATTTTGCCAACTTAAGTTTCTTCTTGAATTTGAAATATTGTCTGATACAATAATCTAATTTATCACGGGTAATTTCTGATACATAGGAATGCTATCCAATCATAAATCTGTATTAAGTGAATTCAACAAACTTTTTAAAAAATTTGAAATATTGTCTGATACAATAATCTAATTTATCACGGGTAATTTCTGATACATAGGAATGCTATCCAATCATAAATCTGAAAGATCATTCAGTATTGTACCAAATACTGAGAAGTTTAAGTCTGAAATTCAATGCTTATTACACATGCATGGATGCAAATTTGAATTTGACTCGACACAACTAGTACAATTAAAGTGGCAACATGTTATTGGCTTATTTTTTCAAGTTATCATTTTATTCACTTGATTTTGTTAGTACACTAACAAACATTTGTTTCCATTTGAAAACACCAGTCCGCTAACTTTTTCTAAAACATGAAAGATTATTTTCCTGTCCTCATTGACAAGGCATACATGTGGATGGCATTTTTGCAGAGATCTCCTTTGACAGTGCAATGTGCAAACACTGAACAATCTAAATTTCTCTACCTCTACTAGAAAATAAATACTAAACTTGAGCTGGCCCACCTTGGAGAAGCAAAGACACTTCATTTAACCTTTAGAATGCTATAAAACTGTTTTTGGCTTAAATAATTAAACCTGAACTGAGTTTAGTGATTTTTTCGAACTCACTCTAGATAAAAGGACACAAGCTAACCACTCTTTTAAATTAGACGTGAAAAATGCAAGGGTTAACACCCTATAAAATATTCATTCTTTATTCACATAGTGAAAGAATGGAATAATTTACTGCAGTATGTAGTTGAAGCAGAATCTTTTTAACTGTTTAAAGCGAGGCTAACGTCTTTTTTTAATATGTGAATATGTAAATAGTGATAGGTAATAATTTAATGTATTTTTATTCTTTTGTAAAAAGGTTATAGTGTAGACCTCATATTTCCTTTTTATGACCTATTTTATTTTTATTTTCTTATCTTTTCGTTCTTGTATATTTATACACTTTTGTTTATTGTTAAACATCATGAATAAACCAGTATTGTATAAATAAAAATAAAATATCTACAAAATTATCAAAAATAGTTTTGTAAACATTCCTCAAGTGAAATTATTCACTATTCACCTGACAATCCAACTCACCAATAACCTCATTCGACCAAGCCATTTGCCCAAAAATGCATATAAATAAAGCAAATTTGTGCAGCTCAATAATGCTAACTTAAAAAGCAATATTTTAAACAAATAACATACCGCATTCAGTAATGAATGTTTAAAAAAATTCCATTTAGTTTGCTATCCACTTATTGATATAAATAACTTTGAAACTATAACTGAAATAGTCCTGGGTAGCAAGTGGCAAATGGTAATCCTCTAGAATACTAATAGTATGTTGCTGATTTCTAGTGTTTGTTTTATCATAGGTTGTCAACAATATCATTATATTACTTTGAAAGAACTAACTACCTGAACACAGGCCAAAAAATTGAGTTCAAAATATGATCAATTCAAAATATAATAGAATTATAATATAATAGAATTACATGCCAATTCAATTCAAATAATGTATTATGATAGAATTTCACACCAATTGAATTCAAAATATGATAAAATTTCAGATCAGGGAGTTTTCCTGAAAGTCCAGATATATTCTTAGGCTTAAAAAACTATAATTATTATTTTATGTGTGAAAATGCATTCACACACAAATAAATTTGTAGAGTTTTCACCTGGGTTAAATGTACTTTTTTTATATTACAATTTCTTTCCCATACAAACTTTTTGCATTATGCTTAATAGGTCTTCTGTTATTACAGTCAACTCTCACCTTGAGGACACCTTGCTATAACAAACATCCCGATAATATGAACAGCTGTTCAAAGCTAAATTCCAGATGAAAACAAATAACAGATGTTTGACTGAAATAAACCTCCCCCTATCACAGACACTCGCTAATGAGGACACTAACTCAAGGTCCCTACAGTGTCCACTATAAAGAGGGTTGACTGTAGCAAGAGATGTGTAAGCATGGTTGTTAAAAAGCAAAAATAATAAAAATATACTTGGCCCCTAAGACTTAACTTAACATATTAACTTTATGTATTTCTACAACCACTCAGATCGTCTGTACATTGACTGAATGCCATGAACAATGCCATTACTACTTGCTGGCCGATATGCTGCACTCCTCGGTAAACCAGATACACTTTCCCTTGGCTTCCTGTGTGGCAAAATATCAACATCCATTGGTAACCTTCCATGTGCCTGTGCAGAGGCCGGCGTGTTTCTTCTTGGATCATAATAAGGTCTTTCACGAAAAGCAAAGGAAGACCTATTTTCATTTTCTTCTCCACTTGCACATTTGGTTTGAATTTCACAACAACAACACCAATAAATTGTGGCAGGTTCGTTACTTTCCATTTCCAGCTGTCTTTGTCGGACACATATTCCTTTCACTGGAATACTTGGATGATAAAAGCGGTAATAGGACACCATGCAGATACAACCAAGTGCAAACCCACCCCAAACAATGCTAAGTGAGGCAGTCTCAATTTCACCATAAAGTGTTCTATATGGGTACCACATTACAATGAACAACGTGTTCTCACCTAGCATGATCACATAGTATGGTATAACGCGAATGCGTGTCATGCCTGCCTTGATATTGAAAAAACAAAAGATGTAAACAAAGCCAATCACTGTGTTAAACAAATACTCCCGGCAACAATGTTTCCTCCCATATTCGTCCATACAAAACCTAGTCTTTTGACAAAAAAGCCAAGATGTCATTATAATCCAGTGTGCTGCCATGGCAACAAACAACCAGATGGTGTAGTAAGAAGCAAACAACACCAATGCCACAACTCGAGATGCAATCATAGACATGCGCCATACAATCTGTAAAAAAAATCCAATCCACGACATGCCACCATCTCCTTTTCCTAAGAAATCTCTGAGTGCTTTGGTATATGCTACAATTGCCCATCCAAGTGACACTAATGAGCTACCAGCTGCAAGGGCTGTGAAGAGATCACTTTCAATCTCAAATCTTCTGTTGTAAGCCATGATATAAAGCTGAAGGACCAGTTGAGGTGCTGATTCTAAGAAGCATTCAAACAGTCTCAACATGCAAATGTCTCTCCATTCAGCTAGGTATGCCTCATAATCGCTATCATTTGAGTTTTTTTGACGAGTACGCCGTCCAGCTTTTATGACACGCCAAAACCTAAAAAACAAGATTTTTGAAAAACATGTAGAGACTAATAAGTGTTGCCACTAAGTTTTGTTTTAGGTGCTGTTTTAACTTTGCACTTTGCTTTATGCTACATCTTCCAACCCCGGGGAGGTGGGGGTTACTCCCTAGTTGGCCTAAATGGGGAGGGTCTGACCGAAAGGGCTATCTTTTTCCAGGCCTCAGGTACATGAAAGGGTGGGGAAATCTGTCATTTGGGTCTGTGAAAGGACCCAAAGGGCTAACAGATGAATTTTAGGGCTTTATAAAGTCGAAAAAAACATGCTATTTTTGTTCACAAAAATAGGAATCAATCAATTGATTCCTATTTAAAACAGAGTGAAAAGTTCTAAACAAGGTATGTGAAAGGGGTACCATTTGTCAATAGAAGGTAATAATAAATAAGTTGTTACCTTTCTCATGAAAAATGGTATAAAAAAGGGTAAGGGGCAAAAAACCTGTTAGAATCCTTCTTGATGTGCTCATGTGCTTAGCTTTTCTACAGAATCTTTTAATGCCTTGACATCTTCATTCATAACATTTTAAAAACCTTTTTCTCGGGCACTGAGACATATGGAAGGTTGCCATGACATTTTGAAATTTCATGTGTGAAATTTTCAATTAACTCTGAAGTTTTGAAAGAAATTCATCACCCATGATATTACCGAAATCTGTTGAAATCCACTTTCAGGTTAAACCAGTCTCCAAGCTATTTTGAATTCTGAATTTCCTTTGTTCCCTGTTCCAAATCATTTTCAGTGATCGAGGAAACAACATTTTCAGTAAGGAAATTCTGGTTTTAACTGAGAACGCATTTTTCCTGCAAAAAGTATACTATATATACAAAAAAAGTAAAGCTCAATGAAAATTGTTTCTCCTTGTCTTTTTCTCACCAAGAATGATCCAGACTCTATAAATATTTTAACAATTTCCGTGCATTAGAAACCTATGCTCACCTCATAAGAGGACCCAACTGAAAAATATGCAATAAATATGTTCCCCAAGTCAGCTCTTCATCGTCTTCGTAAAACCACTTCGCAGAAAAAACTTGCATAACAATCGACGACAAAATAACAAATCCTATTGTCAAGGAAAACCATAAATAAGAACCGTCGATGCAATAAAGAACAGACACCGCTATATCTGAAGAAATGTCAGCGAGGAAAGTCAAAACCGACGCAGCAGCGAAAAGATCCCATATTATATGAACCCTTTGCGGCTCACTTTGGTGATGCTTTTTAGTTGAAGGGTGTCTGGAAGCAGCTACATCTGTTTCGTCTGAATAATGACTATCAGTAGGTGTTATAGTTCCATTGCTATGTCTCATAATTTCGACTTGGGTAGGATTTACTCTTTGCGACTCAGTCTGTTGGTACTTTTTCTTTAGAGGGTGCCTTGAAGGAGCTACATCTGTTTCGTCCTTACCATTAAATGCTATGCTTCCATTACTATGCTCTATAATATTGCCTTGCATAGGATTAATGAATATTACTCCGGAGCTACTTTCCGACATCTTGACCGGTCAGATGAGAAGAAGTCAATTGACGAAACTGAACGCGCAGTGCTGGGAACTAACATACGTGTGGTAACCAATATGGCGGACGTGGCGCCAAAGTTAGAGTCCTTGTGAAATGTAAAATAAAGAGCTTTGTTTGGATCTGTTTGGGTCCACCACAGCGTATAAGATTCATTTAGCAAAAAATGCCTCCAAAAAAGGCATCGCCTGCAGCAAAAACAGCTCCTAAAACTACAACACAAAGGTCTGCAGCAAGGGCCACTGCTAAACCCGTGCAGGGGACGAAGAAGCCAAGCACGACAGCTGCCAAACCAGGAGCTAGCGGCGTGAAGGCCGGGGCTACAGCAAAGAAAGGTGGTACATCGCCTACTAAAGGACAAACCAAAGGAAAGGTGACCTCCGCAGTGCCTCAGGTACTTGAAAATGGTCCCAGTACAAATCTGCCCTTTTTGTTTCCATGGTAACTTTTGATATCAGCATTTAACGTCATTAGCGGGGTCTATTTGAGCAATAGATAACGTGTTCCGCGTTTGCATAGCCTGATATAAACACGAGAGGGGTTGGGAGAATTCAAGACAGTAACGCAAACCCTTGACTTCATCTCGGGTTTGCACAATTAACTGTCTCGAATTCTCCCAACTTCTCTATATAAAAAAGAATGCCTGATTCCAGGTTACAAGGCAGGTTGTGCACCATGAATGTATGAGATAGGCCTAATTTTCATGAAAAAATTGGAATTTTATCAACTGAGAGTAGAACCCCCTGCCCCCACCCCCCAACCAGGCCCACCCTCATGAACGCAAATCAACCCATTCATTATGACATGGATATGGCTAGGACATCATACAGAGTCTTACATGAGGTACAGACTAGGGTAAAAGATAAGTGTCTTGTCAGTGATGAGAAACTTGTATACATGAATGATCCAAAACATTTTAAAAATTTGGGAAAATTGCCTGCAGTTATTCCAAACTAAAACACAGAAAAAGTCAAAATTCCTTGTTATCCTGTAGATTTGGCGATCCAATTGAGAGAGAAGGAAATTTGCGCTATATCCGGGAGAGCTGGCATACCTGCAACCCAGTTGTTAATTTCAATGTAATTTTGTAAAAAAATTAGGCTTATCTCTTTACTTTTTTTGACAAACAACCTTCATATTTTTTAAAAGGCTAAAGGCAAGAAATGGACAAAACAAGATGAATCTGCTGTTGTCATACAAAAATATGCCAGACGTCATCTGGCTAAAAAGGAGCTAGAAAAGAGGAGAAAGGAGAAGCAGGACTATGAAGAGTTAATGGACAAGATTCAAAAGGAGGTTGGCTGACATTTCATACTATAAGTAATTGACAGTATATTAATCAGTTAATCAGTAATGTGGTTATCCAAGATGATTAAAACTTTGTGTTTCTCAACAGTTTCAACCTGGTGTCATTCAAACAAAACTAGCCAGCTTAATAAGTAGCTTGACCCAAGCAACATCTTACCAAAAAAAAAAAACAGTGAGCCTTTTGAAGTGCTTAATTTACATTTCTTTGTCTACAAGTTTTCAAAATGTGAAATTGATGTAGGAAATTGAATGATAAAGCATTGCTCTGATGTGATAATTGAATTACCTTTTAAAACAGATTAAATTTTAACTTTGTTGTTGGCATGGATGAAACAATTGACAACAGCTTGTTGGAAGGACATTTTATTTCAGGCCCGGGTCTTGGCTTTAGTGATGGTCTTGCTTATGGGGAAGCTTCACTGAAGTCTGGAGCGTTTTTCCGTTTGAACCCCATAGCATGTAGCTGTCTCTGATCTCTCCAGCACTGCAAGTTGTCAGAAGATGCTACCCTTAAGGCTATGCCATAAAGCATTATAAATTGGTTCTATATATTTTATTAATTACTGTAACAAAAAAATTCACTGAAGGCGAAGTTGAATAATTCCTAAGAGGTAGAATCTCTATAATCATGTGAGTAACATTATACTATTTTGTTATAATTATTATTATAATGATTATTTTAATTTTGATCTTGATGGCAGGCTTGGCTAAAGTTAGTCCAGATGGAACGAGAAGAAGCAGAGCGTGAGCGAAAGAAAGAGGAAGAAGAGAGAAGAAAAAGAAAAGAAGAGGCAAAAAGAAAAAGTAGAATTCTTGAAGCTGCCTTTGATGGTGATAATGATGAAATTTTAGCCGTGCTAGAGGAGGTAAAGAATAATTCTGATTATCCAGTGTTATTTAGGAGCTGTTAATATTTCCTGCTTCTGGCCGGAACATATGCTTGAAGTATTTCTTTAGTACTGTAAGAAGAGTGAGCATCTGGTCATTTACATTGCCCATTAATTTACAATAAGGTACTATGGCACGCTAAAAATCTTAAATTTTAAATGCTTGGGAAGGAGTACTCTCCAGCCCGGGATATATACATGATTGTATTTTAAAATTTCTTTTCTCAATTTTTAGGTTTGGGTTCCTATGTTTTAAACCCCTAAGGAATGCAACCATTTTATTGTAATGCAAGTAGACATAATCAAGCCCACATCCTGAATCTGATACGAAAAAGTTGCCTATACCTTGACCTTTTTTTCCAGGCCTATGAGGAAGACTCTAACAGACCAGACCTTTCTGAGCCTGCTCGGCAATCCCTGATAACAAGACATCAGTTGGCTCTTGTGGACTGTGAGGACGCTAACAATAACACTCCTCTATCAGAGGCTGCAGGAGGAGGACATGAAGACACCATTAAAATGCTGATACAAAGAGGGGCAAATGTGAATTCCAGGGGTAGATATCAGAGGGTTCCACTGTGGCGTGCAGCATTTGGAGGACATCTTCAGGCTGTGCAGGTATGCTTTTTGGACGAGTGCAAATTTCTGGGCTATGCATAGTGGTAGTGGTTTTTGTAATGATTGCACTTAATTACTGGTCTGAAAATTATCATTTGTTTTTAACAAAATAATGGTTGGACCAGTTTAATATGCCAGCCAACTCATGTGTAATAATAATAATAATAATAATAATAATAATAATAATAATAGTAATAATAATAATAATAGTTTATTAACACTTCTAGCACTTAAAAACTGAATAAACAGTGAAATTTACAATTGGACACTAATAATTAAGTCTATTTACAATAATAAGTATTACAATAATAATAATTAATACTAATTATTGGAATCAAGAAAACCTAAAAGTAAAAAAGTCATTTGCTCTCTTTGTCCTTTTCATCGTTGTAGTGGTTTTAGTATTTCCTGATCGTAACTGATGTGGGATAGATCTTGTCATAACTTGTGGAGCTAAGAAAGATATATGGGGTGGCTCTCATTCCTCATAATATCCACCATCAGCTTCTTGCATATGAATATCCTGCGATCTTCTAACGACGTCAAATTTGCTTGGTCTGGAGCTTGTTGATAACTAGAGTTTGGAAATATTATTCTTAAAGCTCTTCTTTGTATTGGATTCAATAGCATCAGAAAGGTATGCAGGAATATCTTGCCATACTTGCGCAGCATACTCTAAGACCAATCTGATATTATATGTGTATACCTTGAGCAGGTCTTCTGGCATGACTCAGGACTGCACGCTTCAACAACCTAAGAGAGTACAATCTCTTAGCCGCCTTGGTAATTACATATTCAACGTGAGCATTCCATGCATTATGTGCTACTCACAAATCTAAAAGATCTTGCTCATTCATTGTATTTGCCAGATGGTGGATCCACCCTATGCAGTAAGATAATTATTGATAAATCAATTAATTGATATGTACTTGAAGTCTCTATTTCTTATAAGCTCGTTGGATTCTCAGAGATTTCCCTGCCACAGTCACACAGTCACACAGTCACCAGCTGTATACTATTTAATGTTATTTACCTATTTATTATGTTTTTCATTCTACTCGCTGTTATTTATTCTGTGTGGCAAAATAATAAAACAATAAAAATAAAATAAACTAGTGCTGGAACCTGAACCTTGTTTTAACATGAACAATGTTTCCCATTAGACCCTTTTAGAACATGGAGGTGATCCCAGATTAATTGCAGATGATGGCACAAATGCAATGCAGGTCAGACTTTGTGTTTTACTGATGAAAGTGATGTTGGTGTCAACCTTTTCAGATTCAGGTTTTCTAGTCGTTAATTTTTGTTTACTGCATGGTTTTTTATGCTCCATAGGTAGCTGCAATAACAGCCGTTGAACAGATATTCCAGGATTGGGACATCAAGCAAACAGACAAATTGCTGGAAAAGCTGGAAGGTGAAAGAAATGCCAGACAAGAGGAGGAAAGAAAGCTAAGAGAGGTTGAAAGCAACAGGTCAGCTGTTTAATAATAATAATAATAATAATTAAATAGAGGATATATTACATGGCTGTGCGGGGATATGAAATTTCTCTTTGAGTGTTGAAAAATATTTCACGAGTGAGCGCAGCGAATGAGTGATATATTCAACATGAGAAGAGAAATTTTTTATCTCCAAACGGCCATGTAATGTTCTATTTATTATATAAACACCTATGATATACCAAATCATTTCACTTTAATGGTCTTTTGGTGTGAAAGGCGCGATTTATCATATAGCCATTAAGCAGTTGTGATATTTTCACATGTGAAGATAACATGTTATTTTCTTATGTGCAGATATCCAGTTTTCGCGCGAAAGCTCACCTGGTATTTTATTGGTGTTTATATAATAAGAGTCTTTATTCATCAAAAGATAAAAATACATATCTTTTGTTCCAAGTAAGTGTAAGAAATTTTAAAAAGCTGAAAAGTAAGAATTAAAAGTATATTGCATAGCTAATTCATATTTAAAAACTAAACGATTTAAAGAGTTTTTAAAATGCATAGTGTTAATCCAGTGTAACTGGACGGTTTAACACAAGGCATAACAGATAAAAGTGGGTGTCCTTTAGCATTAGAAACTTTTCTGAAAATTTTACAGTCTTGTGTTGTTTGTGAGTATAAATTAGCCAACAGTGTTGTTTCTAGGCAGGATGAATATAAAAATGATGGCTTCTCTGCTCGGAAACGATAACTTTTCAAACATCTATTTGTATGCATGTATGAACATTATGAAATGCATTACTTTCCTTAATGTAATGTATCAGTTTATTTGATGTGATATAATGTTTTCTTAGACTTTGTGTGATCTGGAAAATTCCGAAAATAAGCCTCGGGGCTTATATTTTTCAAAGGCCTTGTTTGAGGGGCTTATTTTTGGAGGGGCTTATATTCGAAGGGGCTTATCTATGGAGGGAAATTTGTGTTTCAAAATCAGTTGGGCTAGCCTTATAGTTGGAAGTAAATTTACCGTTTTTGCTTTGTTTTACTTTGTATTTGAGGGCAATTTTCCAAGTACAAGCTCCCGGGGGGCTTATATTTAGAGGGGTGATTTAACGGAGGGTTTTTTTCGTTACCAGTTTGGGGGGTTTATATTTGGAGGGGCTTATACATTTAGGGGCATATTTTCGGAATTTTACGGTATATTAATTTACTTAATTTATTAAAGGCCACTTTGATACCTGAACAAAAAACATTCATCTGCCAAGCATGCTATAGGGTTCGAAAAGTGCATTAATATTATGGTAGAGTTGCAGTGGATGTAAGCGAAGGAAGATGTGACCCTGGAACTTTGAGTCAAGTTCTCTAGTCACTCCAGTTATTATCTGTGGGTAAAAGTGATATCTACACATCCAGTGATACGAAGAGCCACGAAAAGAGTTCTTAGCACGTTCCACAAAGAACGATAAAAACTCCCAATTTTTTTTGCTGCTGTTAAGCTGCAACTTAACAACAACATCAGTCTATGTGAAAGGGGAAAATGAGAATCTCATGTAAAATGATTGTGTACTTACAGTCCCTTTAAATACTAACCTATTAGTTTTCAGATGTGATTCAGATGTGACTTGTTTTGTCGTTGAGAGGAAAACGGTCATGTACCATTATTTGTTATCATATTAGTAATATTCTAACTATTTCTTCTGTTTAGATTGGAAAAAGAATTGGGAAAAGCAGAAAAGGAAAATGAAGCACACCAGAAGGAGGTAACATATTTTGAAATGATTCTCTTGCAATGGTGCTTTGATATTTTTAATAATAATATTAATATTATTTATAGAGGGAGCCCAACTCGCCAAGGCGGTTTTCAGTAGGGCCCTCATGCATTAATTAACTAATATTATTAACCCATTCGCTCCTGGAGATTTTGCCGAAAAACGCGTTTTGAAGCTAGTCGAGTGGTTTTCTGGTCACTGTCGTGCTATAAAGAGCTAAAACTTACCACAAACCGGTTTACAGGTCGTACACTTCGTGGCCTTCTGTTCCAGATGCAAAATATCAGCTTGCGAAGTTCGGGCATGCGCAGAAAGCAAAATTTCGAGAGCTTTCTCTCCTCCCTTCTTTTTTCTCTTTTCTTCCCTCATTATTTTTTTCTCTTGCTGGGCATTTAGTAGGCTTCATTTTGGTGGAAAGAGTTTTTAGGAAAGCTTTTAGGATCTTAGGATTAGGTGAAAGCAAAGGTAGGTGAGCAATGGAACAAGATTTTCATGGAGATTTTCAGGTCAATGTCACGTGGTTTTTTGCTTCTTTCTCCGGTGTCCTTGACTGAATTGTGCTCATTCTGGTATGGTTTGAAAGATCTCTTCACTCTACACAAGTTACCGAAGACAGTTGTCCTTGAACGTTAAAACTGATGACGTCACAAAGGGTAGAAAGGACCTGGATCCGCACGGGTGGTTACGGGCGGTTCAGGGGCAAATGGGTTAATTAATTATTACGAAAAAAGTAAAAGATGTTTACAATTAGTAAAAAATTTTAAAAATTTAAAATCTTAAAATCGATTATTAAAAAAAAATAACAAGGCTTAAAATTAGCTGAGATCTTTTAAAAAAGGTTTTTAACTTGGATTTAAAAAATAATAAAATAGATAAAAAATTACACTCTTTTAAATCAGTTGGAAGGCTGTTCCAGTATTTCGTGGCATTGTACAAATGTGGTAAATTTTTAATACTATTATTTTCCTTGCAATTTGCATGTTTTATGGTTTCTTTTAAGTTGGCTAAAGCGCACTGTGAATTGAACAAAAGGATTTTTGAACATGACAAATGCATGGCAGAAGGAATGACGGACAAGAAAGAAGTCACTTTACAGGTGTGTTGATTATTTAAGTAAAAAACCGTTGTGACCCACACTATAGCTACACAACTTCGCAGAATACTCGGTACCTTGCATATATGCACGGTGATACTACCCCGTTAGTGGTGGTCAGAGACAGCTGTTTTATTTGGATGTGCAATTACATCAGTTACTGGCCATAGCACAGAGTTGCTGAATGAGACCATTGCCTTGAGATGAAAGGGTTCATTACTATTCTCACAGGGAACAGTTTGTATTATATAGACAATAAACAATTTCACACCTCTCTGTTATCTGTTATTTTTTTCTCTCCCATAAATTATCCGTGTACAATTTATGTGAAATTATTTGTGACAGCTAAAAGACCCTTTTGCCAAATCTGAGTTGAGAGCGCACCGTGCAGCGCTTTATTCAGTGGTCATTGCGTGTTTCAAACTAATGGTGCTCGAGGAACAGTGAACCAAAGGCTTTATGCAAAGGACTGTTTAGAAGTGATTCGTCATAAATTGTACATGGATAATTTATGGGAGAAATTAAAAGCAGATAACAGCTTAATCAAAGAGATATGAAATTGTTTATTGCCTAACGACAAACTGGAATCCTCTGCTCCCTGCTGTACTATCATCAGTGCCACCAGGATCATTAGGTGGGTCTACGGTTTTGATTGGGCCAGGGGTTGGAGCGGGTAGGTTACCTCAGATGCAAAGTTTAAAATGACAATAACATCAATGCAGGCACCCAAGGTAGCATGACCCCCCCCCCTCCCCCCCCACCCCCAGTGCTATATTTGCCCCTGGATTGTAAGCTTCTGTTTTAATTAATTGCAATGACAAAGTACACTCAAGAAGACTACATAAAAACTGTTTAGAAAAGCATCAGCTATGACGTAAAAACACACAGGTTATATGACGTTGTTGTGGTCGGTTATATGACGTTATTGTGGTTGTGCAGGAATGCAAAGGAAATGATGTTTTTTTCTTTGCAAACAAAAGTGCCTTGAAAAGACTAGAAAGTAGGTCAAAAGACTCGTAAAAGATAACATCATCAGTGGTTCGGATTTCTCTCGATAAAAAGTAATTACTTAACCAAACGTACTGCAAGTTGCAAAACTCATTTTTTTGTGTCTGGCACTGTTACCACTGAAAAACCTGTCTGTGGACTACTCTGTCTTGTTTGTACGTGTATGACTATTTTGTTGTGTTGAGGAAGTCTTTACTCAATTGGTTTATTCACTTGAAGGCAATACATGATGCCGAAGCAGTGCTGGAACTTGCTAGAAAGAAAGCTGAGGCTTCCAAAGAGGTGCTAGCTCAGGTAAATGATATTAATTTAGTCATATTTAGCTGTTGAAATCCGCGAGATCTTGTCAGCTAGCTTAGCAGTGTTCCAAGCTTAAATGTTTTTCAAGTCACCTTTTCAGACATTACATATTGGTCGCCGGGAAAGGAGAGTCACTTTGAGCACCATTACTTCGTAGTTAAAAGAATTTAAATGGCTGCCAAACATTTTGGAGATGCACGCGACATCTCACAAGGGTTTAAATACCTGGACACCAGGGTGAAACAGGCAAATCATAACGATAATAAGGCGTAAAAGGAATACTTCATGCAAATTATTATTTCACTTTCTCTTACTAGAAGTAAGAGCATGCATAGGCACCAACTTGCCGCATTACCGGCAACAAAGGTCACCAAATCGTCGGACGACTGTCGCGGCAACTTTAGTCGCCTTTTTTTTTCTATTCACCTTGGCAACCAAAAAGGTCGCATCTTGGAGCCTTACTTACATAATTGTTTAAGCTTTAGTAACCCAAGTATAGTTAGGATGCTTCGCTTTTAACCGTATCCTTTGACTCCTGAGGTGCGGAATGTCTTGTAAGTTGATTCTAACTTTTCAGTCCGTAGACGAAATCCTAAAACCTCTTTAGCTGTAATTTCACATGCTGCTATTTGTTTTTCTGGCCCGGGTTGCTATAAGCATGGTTAGTGCTAACCAGCGTTAAATACCATGGAAACCTATACATTTTGATACCTCTTAACCAACGGTTAGCGCTAACCAGGCTTCGAGCAACCGGCCCCTGCTTGCTACAAACTGATAGCATTAGAAATTTTGCAACTTTTGGGAAATGTGAGGGTTATGACGATATGTGTTAAGCAAGGCTTAAATTTGGTTATTGTACTTTTTTTTAGGCCAAACTAAAACTTAGAGAGCAGCATAAAACAGAGGAGCGCTCTTCAGAAGGTGAGAAGTATCCCTGCAAGATTAACAAAACGTTAAAGCTGAAAATCGAAAATAATGGTCTTCTTAAAAGACGAGCGAGCAAGATTACAACGTTTGTGTCTTATTCCGGAGTTTTCGCTCGTCATTAGCGGTCTTTAGATTTGAGGACAACTAAGACGACGAGATTTGACTTTAAGATTTTTCGCGCATTCTCAAAAAAAATAGACACCCCGGAAAGCTTCATTTCACGTTTTTGAATGAGGTTGAGCCCTGTCCCAATAGCAAAATGACACCATAAAACTTCTAACATTTGATAACCTTTTGGGGGTTTTTCGCTGAAACTCGTATGACGACGGCTTCACATTTTCCCGCCAAAATAGGGAGCTTAAGCAACGACGACGGCGACGGCTACGAAAGCGTCACTTAAAAAATGAGTTTGCGCTGCGTCAAACTTTTCTGCGCTTATTCCGTCTCGTTTAATTCGTCAAATGAGTTGGCAATTTTTTTTTGGAGTTGAATTCTAAAGGACTGTATCAAAGTTGAGAAAAAGAAAAGGAAAGTTGTTATTGTTGTTGAAATTAGGCACTTTCACGTTGTAGTCGTGCAACGACGGCAAATAAGCGTACAAAAAAGCGTTACGCACGTGCAAAGTTGTTGTTTTTCTAATCTTAACCTATTGGGTTATTGCCGTTCTCGTTGACGTCCCTGTTGCCGTTGTTTTGACG